GCGGCGGCGACCGGCTCCGTATTTCAGGGCCGCGCCCGCGGAGGGGCGGCCCCGGCGGCGTCACATCCTCACGCCGCGGGGCGGGGATCCCGGGGCTCGGCCTCCGCCGGGAGGGAGAGGGAGGGAAGGAAAAAAAAAAAGACCAAAAAAAAAAACAAGACGGAAGAGAGCAGCCGAGAGGAGGCAGCGTGACCCGGGTTGTGCCCGGCCGTGGTGATTTCTTACCCCGCTGCTCCCGGAAAACACCCACGCAACGTGCGGGGAGATGGCAGCCTCTGCCAGACCCACGCGTGGGGCACAGGGGCTTGGCTAACGCTGCCTTCGCCCCGCCGAACAGCAGCAAGGAAGCAGCCCCCACCCCCGGCACACGCTTGGGCCGGGACTAGCTGTAAAAAGCTCGGTCGGTAAGATCTGCACAACCGGTTCGGCGAGGGTAAGGTTCGGTCTTTACTGGTCCGAGTGTGCCTCAAATGGGTGGGTTAGCTCCTCTCGTGGGCTTTGCTTGAATCATTGATGGGGAGGGTAGCCTAACCGTTGTAAGCGGATGAGAAACCAAAACATTCTCAAATTAAAAGAGGGTCCATGAGTGCACAGATGCTTTGGGTTTGGTTCAGATAATGGTTAGGAAACCCCCCCCCCCCCCCCCAAACCTATCTGTTACTCCTAAATAATTAGGCTGTGCAAATCACACCACTACTTTTGCTTTTTCTGCAGACAGAGGAAGACAGCCCTTCATTAACTTGTGTCTGAAAGCTGTATTTAACAGGAATGCTGGGGAGAGAAACCAATGCTGTTTTCATTTCCATCCAGGATTTCACAGAAAGCAGGGAATGCTGGAGCTGGACTCCGGAGCTGTGTACTCCCTTACACCTGGAGCAGCCACCCTATTCCAAAGAGGCAACATTTTGTGTAAGAAATCTCCCCCAGCCATGTGTAGAGCACATTCCTGTCGAGACTTGCTATGTGTGCGCTTTGTGACATTTTTGTTTAACAAGACTCAGCAATCAGGCTGCTGGATTCCGGCTGCCAGCCTCATCTGAAAGGGAATGCCGCAGCTACAGCACAGTGATACAGCTGTGGGTTCATGGCTAAACCAGCTGCAGAAAGACCATTAGGGAAACTGAAGCACCTTTATTCTGCCAGGACTAAAAGCAAACCAACGTGTACTTGCAGTGCAGAACTCCTCCCCAGATGGTGCCAGAACTGTATATGATTTCAGAACAGACTTAAGACAGTCACAGAGGCAAGTCCATTGAGGGGGTCCCATGTCAAGTCTAAGGCCACCCACCTTCAGCACAGGAAGTAAGAGGAAAAAACCCAACACGTGAAGGGTACACAGAAGGAATGAAGTCTCACAGTCCCACTCACAGATGCAGAGCAGCTACTTAGCACTCAGGTTAGCAGTACTAGAATGGCAAAAATAAGATAAATCCTTTCAAAGATGGCAAACAAATGGAAATGCATTTGGATTTCTGATTAATCTCTGCAACTCCTCACTACCTTTGCATAAAATTACCGTAACATTCATGTATGCTTGCAGACGTGTATACGTACTGCTGCGAGGCCATGATTAACCTCACAACAAACACTGGCTCTTACAGATTCCCAAATAAAGTCAGAAAGGCCTTGTGCACAATCTCGTCCTGTCCAAGAAAATACTATGCCACACGCTTAATTCTTATCAGCCTCAATGGGATTCACAACAGTGCTTACTTTGCTGAACAGGGAAAGGATTATTCATATTTAATCACATGCAGATTGCAAGCCATCTCAACTTGACCTCCAAGAAGCTCCTAACAACACTTGTCAGCAGGAAGCCTGAAGGAGAAGAGCATCTAAGGAAGATAAGCAACCCCTGAAATACCAGAGACTGCAAAAGATGCATTTTAAATCCCATAAGCAACTTACGTGAAAGTAAAGACTTGACCAGACTTACATGATCAAGAGCATCTCCTAGGAAATGGGTGGTCAAAGCATAAAACAGCAGCTACTATTATGGACAGGATATCAAGTCCTCTACCCTACCGCTCTCACTTCAGGAATTTTCACGGAAACAAGCCCCTGACAGTCTCAGCCCATTTCCCATGCTGGTGGCTGGTACTTGTTTCTGCTACCATAGAAAGATAGGAAAATTGTGAAATACATAGTCAGGTGCTATTGCAGCCTGCACACCCTGTGGCACCCCTCCAGGCCCTAATAATCAGAATTAAAGAGAGAAAGCAACTTCCATGTTTTTTTGGTTTTTTTTAAACACAAACACCAATTGCAGACAGAGCTTTCTGGATCCTAGGAAGCATGAAAACAGTGACCACACTTGATCAGTTCCAACCTACCCCTCACTTGCTGCTCCCCAAAATGATTTTTATTTTTTTTTAAATTGGCACAGCTTGATGCACCCAGCAGCACACCGTTGTTTCAGAGACCATAAGTGGTCAATATAGGGCACACAAACTTCCCACTATATGCCCTTAAAACAGAGAATCTCTTCATTTCACTAAAGAGCTATATTATCTGAATTGTTACAACTCATCAACTACTACAAACCTTTCCACGCGTTATTAATCCACATCACTTGGGGTCTTATGGTAAAATAGGAAAACTCATTTCCTCTTGGGTTCCCTGACAAGAACAAATGATTCCTTTATGTGTAACAGATCCTGCACATAACGGGCTTCATTAAGAAGTGATCATATTGCAGGTTTGAGTCAACATTTCCCCGGCTTTCAAGTTTGCGCAGCAGGAGCTACTGTGACTATAAGGAAGATGATGCTATTCCAAAACAACTTGCATGATTCCCACTTGAGCATATGTGCAAAAAGAGCTCCTGTTGATACTCAAGATTATTCCCTGAGATTACCAAGACTGAGCCTCTCAAGAGCCCAACAGAAGTCCCTGTTATATTAACATTTGAGTGGGCCTGACTCATCTCAGAAGAGGACTGAAATCCATGTACTGTGTACGGTATTTACAGGTTATCATTCTGCTACCAGACCTCGGTCACGCTTCCCTCACAGCATGATATATTACTGAAAGAAACTACTCCAGCTGACAAGTCCTGTTAGCAGTTTACCCTAGATGAGACCATTTCCCCACACTCTATCTGAAAACAAGAACGTGTCTTCCCAAGGGAAAGAAATTAAAAGATTTACTAACCACCCCTTCCCACTTGAATCCACTCCTAGCTTCCCAGCTGGATAACCAACACTTTAGGAATTTGTGCTTTGCATAATATTGGAGGTCTCATCGCTATGGAAAAGAACATACCAGATAACTTCGTAATTCCTTCCTTTCATAACCACTATGGGGAAAAGGAGAAATATAGATTTTTAGATGAAGACATTTTAAAGTCTGGATTAAAACCACAGCAGACAAAAAAAATAAATATCTCCCTGAGTCACTGAACCATGCAGGAGAATGCATGACTGAATAAACTCAGAATTTGACTCAAGAGTTTTTAAATTCTGACACATAAAAGCAAGACAAGACTTGCCCTTCACTAACTGTATTTCAAATTCATACCATCTTTAACACTTAAAAGCTGGCAACTTCATAGTCTATTTTAGCTTGGAAGAAAACAGATGGATTTTGCTAGCTTCCTGAAAGATCTCAAAGGCTCTAGGCTGAAAGATCTGGACTAAAACACAGACCTATGCTAACAATTTTGCAGCATTTTATTAGTAAAACATGAGTCAGGATCTGTCATTACCTTTGGAAAGATGCCCACAGAAAACACATAGTGTTGAAAAACAAGAAAGCTGTACTTGCAATAAACTCTTTGAAGGCTGAATGCTTGCTGAAGTAAGAGATGTAGGAGAATAAAGACTCCAGATCCATTAAGCTGAACTGGTGCACCTGCAGGTTGCTACAGCAAGTGTTAATTCATTTGGCAAACCACAACCTCATTACAGACCAGTGTCACAAGGAACTCTGGTGTCATTAAGCATTTTCCAGCCTTACATTCCATAATATTTTATCACAAATTCAAGATGCCCCAACTTTACTTTGTGGGAACAAATGAAATTGAAGTAGTCCTGGGGTACTCTGTAAAGCAAAAAAAGAAATACAGTCAGCTCAGAACCAAGTGACAAGCCAAACCATTTACAGCAGAACAGGAAGGACCCAGAAAGACTGAAAGAAGTTCTACAGATGAGAAATATGCCCTGTCACAAGGTAGTACACACACTGTCTAAACTGCTTGTTATGGGATCCTGGTACATGCAGTGCTACTTGTTCCAAGATTTGCAAGATTTCTAGCCTCATTTTTTTTCAGTACAAATTGCATCTGCTGTCATGCTGGTTTAATCACACTAAGTTTCTCAGCAGCCAAGTTCTAGCCTGCCAATTAAAATGTCACACATTGAAGCATAAACATTAACTACACAGCAGTTGAACAGTCAGCTTTGCCTGCGTATATAATATGTGCCCAAGTACAAAGTTATCCATGCTCATCTAAGTGGGCATCAGACAACAAAGGATTTGTTTGTCAGTTTTAGAGTTCAAAAAACAGAAGAAATCTTTTATGCTTCTGAGTAACTGTTGCTGGTTTTGCTAGGGAAGAAAAGTTGTTCCTTGTTTTACACAGCCTTATTAAGGGATCCATGTCATGCTGTAAGTGCCAGCTCTCAGCACTGCAGTTACTAAAAAAGAAGCTATTAAATTAAAATTAAGTTTTGGACCTTATAGTTACTACTGTCTTTCCTGTATGATTCCCGTAATTTGTACAAACTTGAACAGGCTTCATCTGCCTATAATTCTTATTTCTTAGGGAGCAAAATGACTTAGAAACATTTTCTTCTGCTACACTACCATTTAATTATAGAGCCCCAAAAAGGGGAGAAGGGAAATAGAAGTCTTGTAAAATACCACAACATAATGTAGCCAATAAGAAACAGAACTTACCCCAGCAACGCATGCCTCCTAAGCTTAATTCCTCCCCAGTTTAGGAAGCTGGCTTATCTGGCCCAACAGAGCAGACAGCA